CCTGTTCAAAGGGAGTTTTTCCTCTCCACTGTTGCTACAAGCATGCTTAGTGTGAGGGATTGCTGAAGAGTCAATGAGTCGATGCAATCAGCCGGTTTATGGAAGTAAATCGGTGCCGCTGGGATTTAAATAAAAAATATCACTGAAATATAAATGTTGTATGTTTGTACTTACTCTTTCTGTGTTAAAATATATTTAGAAAACATTTTCAACCTAAAAAAAATCATTGTGACTATATCTATATAGATTACATTTTTTTGTTATTTTCACTTCAAGCTAAAAATTCACATTAATATTTCACAGTTAATATATTTTCAATACTTGCTTGCAATTGCAACTTGCTGCAATACTACAGAAAAATGAAAGCAATAAACTCACGATGTGTTAGCGTTAGCTTCCCTAACCGCCTCAGTCATGCTGGTTTCCCTTCAGTTTGGCGCCACAAACGTCCCGTCACGTGACTAAGAAACTGTAACGGGATTGGCTGGGAGTTGGACGCCACAATCCATTGCTAATGTCTGTGACCTGAAGTAACCCTTCCCCTTTTTACACTGAATTTAGACGCTGAATTTAACAGAGTGAAATTGAGCCAGTTGAATCTCAGGAGGCTGAAAATATTTAGATTTAATTTTGAAAGGCTGAATTTTTCATATGCTGCTTTTTTTAACACTGAAAAGTCAAACTGAAAAAAAAAACAGGTATTGAAAATGTATTAACTGTGAAATAGTAATGTAATTTTTTTGTTTGAAGTGAAAATAGTAAATAAAATATCATCTATATAGATATAGTCACAATGATTTTTTTTTAGGTTGAAAATGTTTTCTGAATATATTTTAACATAGAAAGAGTAAGTACAAACATACATTTATATTTCAGTGACATTTTTAATTTAAATCCCAGCAGCACAGATTTAATTCCATACTTGTTTTCCTTAGATAGAAAACTTTGAATCAATCTGACTATGAAGATGTGTGTGTGTGTGAAGCTGGTTCTGACCACAGTGATGGCTGATTTATAGTAGGTCTTCATGTGGACCCTGGACATCACCTGGAGGAGGGCATCCACACTCACAACCTCCCTGAAAAACAGGAAGCATCAATGTAGGTCTGCTGCCATTGATCAGGTTCATTGACCAGTGGCGGGTCTTACTGTGCCTCAGCCTGGGCTCTCTGGCTGCTCAGGACATGGAAAGCAGCTCGGATCCCCAGCCGCCTCCTCATGATGGACGTCTGAACGGACATCTGGACAGAAACAGGAACAGTAGGTGTGGTCTGCTACAGGTTGTCTCAGAGCTGCATGGGTAAGATGCTTTCTGCCCTCATCAGGAGTTCTGCTGGACCTAAAAGCTGCAATGCTCCTTGTTTCTTAATCCACAGCAAAACAACCAACATGTTCAGGCAGCGTCATACCACCCATGTCCAATAGAGGGCAGAACCAACTCAGAAGTCCAGCTTCCTTCTATTCATTTAGACCTCTATCTATGTGTGTGTTCAATTTCAGAGGCAAATTAAGCAGACCAGAATAGTATGGCTGTGGATTCAAACAGGTCCAGCCTTCTCCGGCTTTCACTGCCCATACGCTCTGTCTCCTAACAACCGTGAAAGTTTACACACAAAGCAGGTAAAGAATGGATGCTGAACTTCTCACTGCTGTTCTGGGTGCTAATAACATTTCTGAGGAGCAGAACCATCAGTACCATCATCAGCAGCAGTACCATCATCTCAGATATCAGATTTATAGTCCCCACCCTGCAGAGATATTAGAATCTGTGCTTAAATGTCAGCCAGACCCATTTAGACAGGAACAGATAAAAACCTTTCAATAAACCAAACATTACCGCCACATATCTGACTCAATAACCATTAAAACAACTATTTTCATTCATTTCAGACGGAACTATTCAGACTTAGATTATATCCAACGGCACACCCAATATTCACCACAGTTCGGCGCCATTTTCCTTTTTAATCGGATCTTTGAGCAGCTGGTTTGCTTGGACCTGCAATGAATCCTGGGATACCTAAGACTACGGAGGAGACACTGGACCCATCCTTTTGAACAGGCAAATAGAAGGCTGCATTTGTCAGCCGCATAACGAGGAGTCTTCACATCCGAACAGGCCGCGCTACGTGTGTCGTTATCAGCCGATGAATCTGGCCTTCAGAGGACGCAGCCGCTGGATTCAAACTCAGCATATGTTCTGTTCTTGCCCAATAATGGCTCATAGCGCTGCAGTTGTTGTACTCTTGTCTAAAACTGTCATGGAATAGAGTTTGATGAAAATTACCAGTGGTTGATTCCTGAATGAGAATAAAAGAGTCTGGATTCTGTGGCTCTGCAGGTAAACTAGCTTAGAAAGCGTTCTACATGCAAAGCTAAAGAAGCTCCTGCCTTTCAGGATGAACAACAGATCTGCTGCTTCACCTTTTCACAACAATATTCTGCTCAGAACAGGCGGCCCACCTGTTTGGACCGGCTGAACCAGAACGGACCTGCTTCCTCAACATCCTGTCTCCTTCCTCTAGTCTCTGCTCTGTCCCAGTTCATAGACCTTAATGGTGCAGGGCAGCATGAATGCAGGCTTTGGGATGTTACTGATGTCATTGGGGGCCCTTTACTGGACTCACGTTAACATTAGCTACAGTTCGGTTGCAGATGACAAACCAGACACACTCAGAGGTTCTGACCCACCTGACGTTCTTCACTGTCCAGACAGCAAGGCCTGAAGCCTGCATTCATCTCCATCTCAGACAGGTTCTGGTCTCAGTGGACCCGGTTAGCCGTGTGGAAGCAGGTCCACCATGTTCTAAAGTCTGTGAGCTCGGTGATCCTCAAACCCATCCTGCTTCCTGACACTCCCTAATCTCCATGGAAACAGGGGACGGTCCAGCAAACCGCAAAAGGGAGAAAGAAAGAGCTGCCAGACGTGGAGGTTCAGCACCAACAGCTAAGCCACCATGACACCCACCATCAACCCAAAACCACAGAACCATGGACCAGCAGAACCCCGGAGTGTGCGGGAGGAACGCTCACCAGTAAATATCCCCTGAACTGGTTGTAGATGATGGCCGTCAGCAGGTTCATCAGGCAGTAGGTCCCTGTGAGGAAGCAGAACATAGTCCTTAACCTTAACGATGTTAGAGCTGCTTGGTTGTCATGGTGACCCCTAGCGCTTACCGATGACGCTGAAAGTGATGAAGAAGATGGCGTAGCCTCTGTTGAGGGAGTAGGCGGGGATCATGACTGCGACAGAGAAGAAGAACGGCTTTGAAAGCAGCAGTAGCAGAAAGAGGACCTGAGCTCAGAGATCCTCTGTACCATCTGGGTTGTTGGCTGTGGTGAGCAGAACCAGCAGGGAGGTCAGGGACGTGCTCATGTCTCTGAAGTGGAGCTCCCACTCGCCGTTCTTCTTTGGATCCTGGAGCAGAGAAACAGACAGGGCCCAGAACCAGAACCATCAACCTGAGGAACGACCATGAGGGCGCTGCAGTGATTGAAAAGCAGAACACAGGCAGGCCTGTTTCTGTGGTTACTTTCTCCAAAGGGACGCTTCCTTTGTAGGGGTAAAGTTTGACTTCATCTGCAACCGGACTAACATCAGAACCTAAGCTGCCATGGCAACCGGTGCTGGTGGCACCATTTAAGACACCATCATCCTTATTTTAGGGGGCATTCCATTTAACAACACGTCCAAAGACAGACAGGCACACCAGAGGACACCACACACACACACACACACACACACACACACACAGACTCACCTCGCTTTTAGCAAATAGCAGCATGCCGATCATGGTGAAGAGACAAAGGTGCAGAGCCAGCAGCAGGATCACACTGCAGAGCAAAGATAGGATGAAGGACAGGCTGAGAGGGTTATGATTGGAGGATAGGGCTCCTACTTAGTCTGGAAAAATAGTTTACTGCTGTATAAGAGGACCCTTTGTAAAGCAAGAGCAGACTATTTCTCCTCATTAATAGAGGAGAATAAGAATAATCCTAGATTTCTTTTTAATCCAGTTGCCAAACTCACCCAGAGCCATAGCTCTGTTGAACCGTCCATTCCACCTACTCTTAGCAGCAATGATTTTATGGTATTCTTTATAAATAAGATTGATCTTATTAAAAATAAGATCATTAGCACTCCTCTATCTACGATTGGTTTGTCTCTGGAGGGTGGGTCAGCATCTGAGGTAGCCATAAAATCTGAACCGGGTTTAGACTGCTTTGATCCAGTTGAACTTTCAGAGTTAGCAAAACTATTGTCTTCATCTAAGCCTTCAA